AGTCTATCTGAGTCGTGTTGCAGATTACAGTCATTCCTTTATTACCGTAATTTGTCTTCCAAAGGTTTAATTTATCTTCTTGTGGCGACTTTTGGCACAACACACCAAGTCACAAATAAACTGGTTTGGTGAGTTCAGTGAACTTCAGTGGCCTCTTCGTCAGCAGTCATGAGTCCAGTAGGACACCTTCAGGATGCTGTAAAAGAGGGGATCTGTAACACCAGAAACTCAAAGCAATGTTCGGTGAAATCCATGCCAGAAGGAAATGAGGCTGTTTTGAAAGCAGCCTTATTGTGGTGTTCTGACTAAAGTGTTTATTAAGTTTATTGATGAGGCTGATTTATTATTGTAGCTCTATTAGATAACACAAGTAATGCAATAATGAAACAGTTGTAAGAATAAAATATATTTTGTGCTGTTCATGTCATCAGTCTTGTTTTCAGCTTGGACATTCATAGATACATCGTTTGTTTAGTCAGATGCAGACGTATAAAACTGTAAAGCTCGGTTATTTCTTTCTTTTATAGCATTGTTTTGTGCTCAATAGAAAGAATGATAATAATACAGTGACTTCCTTGAGGACATGCTGTACTGTTCAGCTTTAGCAAAGGGATGCATGGCTGTATGTTTAAGGTGCTACATGTACAAAGATCAGGTCACTCAAATATTTATCCTCTTCACCGATCAAGTTCGTGATTAACCCATACCAACATTCTTGAAACACACTTCGTGTGTATCTAATATCACTTGATAATGATGAACAAGAAGGTGTCATCTCAGGAAATGTAGATCTGTTTGGAGTGGCTGCCTCATGTAGTAGATGCATAGTGACCACACTGGGGAGTTTTAAGTGACAGGGTCATTGAATTACAGCCTGGCTGCAGATCCGGAGAAGATCTCACTTTGATAAGCATCAAATATGGAAATAAAGAAAGCAGGTAAAATTAACTTTGAGGTAAACTGACCTGACATCAGTAAGATGCAATAATCAAACATATGTTGACCTGCACAGAAGCTGTAGGGAGAGCAGTGAAAGGTGACAAGACACCCGTTAAATAATTGGCTCAGTAGATGGTGTGATATGAGTGACACGAGCCAGGGAGGGAGCTACTGGAAGTTTGTTCATGCAACAGAAGTTTTTTGTTTTTTGCTTTCATTGCAGTTTGTGTCTAATGTGTTAAAGTGGAAGCTTTCTATTGAATAATTTTTTCTCCGCTGTTGATAAAGTGTTTGCTGCTGATACATTTTTCAATCAGCAGTCAGAAAATTTGACATCATACGCAGTCCCTTAAGGCTATTTTTTTTTTTTTTTTTACATTTCCATCAGAGACATCGCCAGATTTAGTCAGTAACAGAAGCCTAAATGAACAACTGTGGTCACTATGGATCAGGGTCACTTTGGAGAATTTTGAAATACAGCAGACCTCCTCATCTTAAACACAAGGCCAGAATGAGATCTGAAAAAATACAGTAACAACTGACATTATTATTTCAGCCTAATCAAAACTGTAAATTACAGTATAAGTAACTGCCTTGAAACAATAAGTCAGTAGACAGTGTTGTTATTGAACCTGTTGAAAATTTTCAGCTGGAACTGCGAACCAAATCTGATCGGACAGAAATGAAGCGCAACAAATGCTACATTCTTTTTAATAGTAAGTAGCACTTGGCGACTTTATCTGTGAATATGCCACACTTGGCAACCTTCAAAAAATGGCATCTGTTGCATTTTTATAAAGGATGTTGCTTCCAGGGTGAAAGGATTAAAACATACGTTCAGATTTGTAGTACATATAACTATTTACTAACAAGGTTAGCTCTAGATGAAACCCCAAGCAGAATAAAGTTTTTTGAAACTGTGTGACTTAAGCAGTATTTAAACTATCCTCATTTATGTGGACATGATTTGACAAGTGCAAGTATTATAAATATAGAGTGAGTCCTGGCCTGCTGCAGTAGAATGAGCTTGGGACCAATCAGACACCTCTCTGATGTTGTGCAAACTTGGAGGCTGGTTCCGACCCAAACGACTCAGGCTGAAGGGGAAGTCAGCTGAGTCTAAACATCCAAAGCGCCTAAAGCATTTGAGCAGTACTGCACAGAGAGGCTCCTGTTGGTCTACGAGCATGACACCCATCTGGCACATCTGTCTTGAATCACTGAACAATGATTTTTGTAGCCGGAGAAAACAGGATGTATTTTTGTTAATACATGAACAATGTATGATATGTTGTGATCAGAATTTTTTTTTTTATATCAAAAACTGAAACTCTCACAAAGAGAAGGATTAACAAAAGTGGTGTGAATTTACAGCAGTGCAATCTACCAGACCTGCTGTTTAAGCTGCAGTTTTTGTTTTGACTAAACAAAAATCCAAAAAAGAGATTCCATTTACTGTCAACGAAGGACAAGAAAACCAGAGAATCACAACATTTGAATGACAGGAACTAATATGTTTTGTGACTTTTCATTTATTAAAAGTGTCTCTCAGTTGACCACATGGCAAATGATTTAACTTTTGTAGTGAATTATTATCAAAGTCTGTTATCTTAGTATCGACATTAGCTCTTATTCTAAAGCAGCACTTGCCTTGATCTACACTTACGGGTCATTTATTCGGTGCACCTGTACAGTCTAATGCAGTGCAACACAACACAACCCTATATGTTTGTGTGCATCATGTGTACTGGGCTGTGTTATATTGATTACACTGAAAGGTTCTAATAACTTTAATTTAAGGCTTCAATTGACAAACACGGATCATCAGAACCTGTTTCAGGGAGGTGTTAACATCCTCCAGCAGCTCCTGGTGGCCTTGATGATTGATTACAAAGAACTTCAGAGAGCAATGTGTAAGATTTATGAGACACATTCTTTATTTTTATTATTTATGGCTAATATTTATTTATCTTTAAAAGGTTAATGTGATAACTGGACTCCCTTTGCCAAACAATTGTTGTACTTGAAAAGTACATTTAATAAATTTACTGGAACCTCTTGTGCACGTGTTCTTTATTGCTCCTCCACATCCAGCCAGCTGATTGGCTGAGGGTCTGACCAGCCTGTACAAGTTAGGCCAGCTGCCCTGCAGTACGCTAAAGAGAAGGCCAAAAGTCAGGGAGCAAGCTGACAGAGGGAGGGGCAGGCGGTCTCCTATTACTGCACCGGCCGCCAGAACTCAGCCAGCCTTGTTTTTCCCTTTCTCAATCCCTTCGCTTTCTGTGTAACTACAACACCTGCTGCACGGCCCTCTGCTTGCTCCAAACTTCAGGCCTGTAGCCGCCTGAGAAAAGAGTGTGAACACAGGTGTTTGCTTTTATCTCATGTGTTTGTGCTGCTAGTGAGCGAAGAATGGCACGCTGACGCTGGAGGTTTAACTGTTGATCCACGGAGCGGACAGCCAGCAGCTCCTGGGGGATTAAACTAATTTTTTAAAGGAGCAGTCGTCCCTAAAATACTTACTGTAGGTAATGTTGGATTGTGTAATAAACATGTGATTAACCCGCCTGTCAGTTTCTGACTGCATGACCTTAAAGTCATATGAGGATACATCCAGTGCAGCCAAAACTTAGTGAACTGCATATCCAGAGGAACTAGAACTGTGCTCAGAAAAAATGTAAGTTATGAAAAAAACAACACCTGTATCCACAAGATAGTGAACATATCACTGAAAGACAGTAAGAACATACCTAAAATTAAACCACACTTACAAGTTGTGAATTACACTTTTGATTGGCTCATTACTGTTAGACATATCAGTGCTTGTGTTGATTCTTCACCATTTATTTAGTTTACACATGTGCATCTTGTTGCTGTGATGTGACATATAAATGTAATATAGGAAGATCTTCAGTAACAAAATGACTCATCAGAAAATCTTCTTATTCTGTCCAGAGTGAGATTTTAGACTCAGGGTTGTTGAAATGTCATTTTTGATGGCTCAATTAAATAGTTTAAAGGTGGAAGGCTGCGGTTTACTCCGCGGTTTTTCGTTACTTGTTATGTAGCGTAATACTGGTGGATCATATAGCTCACATTTAACGAGCATCCTCCTCCAAGGTAGCAAAACTTACTGACTGATTTATTGCTGTTTGGAGGAATAGCTGTGCTGTGAATAGTGTGAATCACCCACACCTTTACTATAGACCCTGTAGGGTGTAAGTTAAGGATTTGTCTTGGAGTGACTTGTGAAGAAACTGACTGCTCATATTATTAATTCAGCATTGCAATCTTTTATCTTTACTGAAAATCATTTAGAAACTGTGATTTTATATCGCTGACATTGTGGGGGGGACAAAGTCTCAGTTACTCACTATAACGAGAACCTATTTTTGCAATAATGACACACTTAGTTTACATAATTACAGCACCGGAGTAACACAGATAAGGTTCTCTTCATTAAAATAAAATGTGTATATTTAGCTACAAATGTCTCTGGAGACAAAAAAAATAAAAAAAATTCTTAAGAGAAGTGCCAATCACACTTTACTAATATGTTAAACAAAAGAGAAAGTCAAACAGATACTAAAATCAACAGAAAGAACTAATAATTAAAGTCAATACGATTGCAAAATGTGTAAATGTGCAACTGTAATAAATGTGCAGCCCTCAAACAGAATAAAGGGATCGCTTAAAAAAAAAAAAAAGACAGAAAGCTGCAGCATTACTAGGATGATCACATTATTTTATTTCTGTACTTCTAGGTTGGTAGTAGAGGGATGTTTGCAGTTGGCTTACGTAGTGTTCTTAGAAAAACTATGACAAATATTGATGATTTAAGCTGCTTTTTCTTTAGTGGATAGATGTCTCTTGGCTCAAAGAAAAATCCAAGCTGTTACTTTTTTGTCTACTTATCTTTACATTTACCACAAATTGATAAACTGAATGAAAGCAACATCCCCAAAAAGAAATCCACAAAATGTAGCTGATTTGTACAAACAACATTGTACTGTAATAATGACAATACTCATCGCCTGCATGCTTCAACAAATGAGCTGAATTCAAAAGCTGTCTGTAGTGACACTATTGACCTGCGGCTGCACTCTGTTCCTGTTGCAGCTGAAGAGCCAGGCTGCCCTCCTGTGGCGGTAACGCTTCGACAGCAGCACATAGAGCACCGGGTTGATGCAGGGGTGCAGGTACTGGAGCACAGTGCAGGTGAAGTAGAACATCTCCCAGGCCTGTCCGTGACGATACAGCCCCAGGTAAACACACAGCTCCAGCACGTAACCGGGCAGCCAGCACACTGAGAAGGTAGCGGCCGCCAAGAACACCATGACGGAGGCTCTGCGGGTGTTTCTGGCACTGGACACTGACATTACAGGGCTCTTGTGGAGGAAAAGAGCCAGACGGACGTAGTTGAAGGCGATGACTAGCATTGGAACAAAGTAGTAAAGCACAAACTGGCTGAGGATCACTTGGTAGTGGTGCTCATGAATGGTTGGAAGGCAGAAGGAGCAGTTCGCCAGGCTCGGGCCCAGATACTCCTTGGTGGCAAACATTCGCAGAGGCAGGCTGATGAAGAAGCTGAGGGCCCAGACCAAGACAAACATGAGGATGACCAGGTCCATGTTGGGCGGCTGGTACGGGTTGGTGATGATCATGGCGCGGGTCATGGACACGGCGCACAGTGAGTAGGTGCTGGCGGCCAGGCTGAAGGCCAGCAGGAACTGGTAGACCTTGCAGAAGGCGTTAGTGAGAGGCCAGGTTAAGCTCACAGCAGTGTACATGGTGAAGGGGATGAGCAGCAGGGTTAGAAAGTCAGCCAGAGTCATGCTTAGTAGGAGGATGTCCAGGCGGTTCTTACGTAATGTGTTGTACTTGGCAAACAAAGAGAAGACGAGCAGGTTGGCACAGAGCCCGATGCCCATGATCACTCCACAGGTGCAGACAAAGATGAGCCCATAGATATTGGGAGTCGCCATGTTACCATCACCTGGCTAATTTTAAAAAACTGGTAATTCCAAACTTCTGTTGCTTACAGCTTCTCAAGGGAGATGATGTGACGCTTGTCTTTGTCATATATGATGGAAAACTTGATATATTTGGTTCGTGGATTACAAGTCGAACAAAACAAGGCACTTTGATCTTGAGCTCTGAAAAAACATTACAGGAAACTTTGATGTTTTACTGACATTTCATAGACAAAAACAGACAATAATCAAGAAAAATACTGGTTCGTTGCAGCTCTATTTATGTTACTTCTAATGAAAGAGGAAGATTATATGTCATATCGCTAAACATTAAAATACAACCTTTGTTTTTTAGCTTGGTCATAATAGTTAGTCATCTGTAAGGCTTTTGTAAACCCACGAGTTATAGAAAAATATGTGTCAAAATTATTTCAATGAAATCACATATATGATGTAAAATCACCTAAAAATCCTGGAGTATACAGAGAACAATGTAGCTCCCTACTGAGGAGAAAATGTATTTGAATTAAACATAGCTGGCAGCTACTGAGAGCTACATTTTCACTAAAGATAGGCGTTAACAAGTACAGGTGTTAGTCTTCACAGCTCATTTTAAAATGGTGTCAGATTCATCATTTAGTCCTACTCACCATCGTTGTTCCTCAGCCGTGTCTGGTCTATGAGTGAACCATCGTCGTTATGTAACCTGGATAAATCTTTTTTACTGGTTTCTATCTTGTGAAAATGGACTGAAGAGGTGAGAGGTTGCAGCCTCTGAGGATTCATTACAAAGTGTGATGGCTGGATGTGAAGGGAAGAAAGGCAAACATTACCTGGGCCACATTGATTCTGGTTGACTTGGTTTAAAGAGAAACGGTCTCTGGTCAGCTGCTGAAAAAACAGCGATGCTTTGTGTGCACCTGTTTTCTTGTTATTGCTTGTGGGTGTTATAAGCACATAATAAGGGTCTTTTTAAACAGCTATAACAGCATTCATAACTGCATTAACTATTAATAAATGCCTCATAACACTGTATTTGGAATTGCATATAGAAAAAAGCCTATTGAGGGAATGATCCAGCAAAGTCTTAAAGAGAACTTGGTCAACCTGAGTCATGTACTGATAAAAGTATGTGGCTGTGAATATATTTTTCAACATCTTTTCAATCAGGGATGTAGTGTTTGTGCCACTAATGTAATATCTCAAGTACAAAAATGATAAGCAACTGTTCAGAACAGAAAAAAAAACATTCTGTGAAACATATTGTAGCTTAGGGCTGCAAGGTGGCTCGGTGGTTAGCATCGTTGCCTCGCAGCAAGAAGGTCACCGGTTTGCGTCCCGGTGAGGACACCCAGGATCTTTCTGAGTGGAGTTTGCATGTTCTCCCCGTGCAGCGGGGGTTCTCTCCGGGTTCTCCGGCTTCCTCCCACAGTCTAAAAACATGTTGAGGTTAATTGGTGATTCTAAATTATCCGTAGGTGTGAATGTGAGTGTGCTTGGTTGTCTGTCTTTAAGTGTAGCCCTGTGATAGACTGGTGACCTGTCCAGGGTGTCCCCTGCCTTCGCCCTAAGTCAGCTGGGATAGGCTCCAGCCTCCCTGCGACCCTAGTGAGGATTAAGCGGTGTATAGATAATGGATGGATGGATATTATAGCTTAAATATATAACCTAAATATAGCTTAACAGACTTTACTCACCACAACAAATGAGGTGAGTAAAAGTAACAAGCTTAAGGACGTCAGGGCCAAATTGCACAATATATTTGATTCTAATAGAAATAACATCTAAAGGGAAAAAATCTTGTAACTTGATTGATAACAGTTTGGAGTGCAGTTTACTTATACACTTAACTGTGTTGTAGCAATGATGCATTAACTGTTTATGCACATTTAAAAAGTCACTGAAATTTTCAAAATGCTTGAAAAAACAGTTTAAAACTACTTTATAGATAAACAATTACAACTGGTGTATACCGTGTTATCAACTGTTGTACACCACACATGGGGAGAAGGAGTTATAAACATTTTTAAATGTGCTTATATCTCTTTACAACTACACTACAACACTTGCTATTTAGTGCATTTTAAAGCATTTCATCATTGTTTGTATGCTGTCTTTATGAGGTTATAAATGCTAAATAGACCCTCAGCCCTCCCCCTCAGTCTATGAAGATGCTGTTTGTTTGTTTTTTATTCATGCTAAAAAGGATTAACTTTTTAAACTCAACACCTCAAACCACCTTAAGACAGTCGGTCTGTAAAGAAAAAAAAACGTCCAGCCCATTGATTACGTTCTCTGTTCCTCCCCCTCAGTGGAGATTTTAATGTTTCTCTCCATTGTTTGATTGATTTCTTCAGTATGAGCTGCAGCCTTCTAACAGTGGCTTTATCAGGCTTTCCACAGCATTTATGACTCTGTCAGCTAATGGCCTATGGTGTACACTGCTGCTCTTAGCACAGGATATAGCTGACGTTGATGCATTTGCGAAGCCCCTCCATTACCAGCGTTTCATTCAGTGGCTGTTAAAATGTCACGTGATCTCAAGTGGGACATTAACAGCTTCATAGTGTCCTGTGCGTGTCAAAAGTCAACAAAAACATTGATGTGTTTTTGTCATACTGCAGCCTAATTGTTAAAAATCAGTTTAGACCCACATGTCAAACTTACTGCTCTTTTCTCAAAGCAGAACATCCCTGCTTTATGCACAATAAATGTGAAATAATTATTTGATGAATCAATTTGCTGACTTTTGTTTATTAATTTATTTTTGATAATTTAGTAATTGGTCTTTTTTTCTTGCAAAATTGACAAACATTTGCTTTTTCTACATTATCACGTGTGAAGATTGGTATAGCAATAATATTGTTATATGATAGTTAAAAGAATACAAGTTTGTCGTATTATTTGGACTAAACAGGCAGCGTTTGGTTATTTTTGGACATTGTATTGATAAAACAGTTAACAACAAATCAACAGATAATTAAAATGAGCAGCCTTAGTCTCCTCCATATCAACGTCCAGTTTTAGATTATAGAAAACATTCAGTGGACTTCTGTCATTAGTTCTTGAAGATGTTTCTCCTCTAATCCATGTGTCGTCTTTAGTTCAACCGTTCTATGTCTGTTATTACAAGGGGTTCAGTTCCACCCAAGTTATTTTAAGTTTCTGACGTCTACTCTCATTTGTGCTAACTTTAACATTAATATTATAATTTGTTCTCAAAAATTTCAGTGAAAACACAATAAAATATTGTGAAAAAAATCATTCCAATTCCAATGATCAAAGCAACTTCCTCAAACGTTTTTTTTTTCTTTCACTATCCACAATCTAAAGATAATCCCTTTAACTCCACAAAAGACATTTAAAAGAATTTTCGAATAATGAAAAATAACTAACAATCAAGCATTAATATCAATAGTTGCTGCTGCTTGATTCTCCGTTGACTGGATTACTCAACAAGTCATTCTAGCTCCTGTCATAAATGCTGCATGTCGTGTTTGTGTTGAATAAAGACGCCGTGAATCAGAGTCTCTCTAATGGCTACAATTTTTAATGTTTGATTAACTGGAAACCTGTACAGTATGCCCTCAGTGCAAGTGCAGAACATTATAGGAGTCTGATAGCCCCTGACTTGGGCTTATTCTATAAAAATAAACTATAAATGCAAAATGATGGGAGTGGGTTTGACGAAGCATCCAATAAGTTACAAGTCCATGAGGGATCTAAGGAGGGAACGGAAACCAGGACCATCAAAAAAAAAAAAAAGCATCACCAAAGTAGAACTCAACCACAAAAGAACATTTACAGGATATAACTAAAGTGCATTATGGAATTTAGTCAGCAGCACCGTGATACATTCACAAAATAAATATACATTTTCAAAGTGAAATAAATTATGGCAGAACCATTTGAACGGATGTAATCATTGAACAGTTTGTCGTGACTGTAAGTCCATGATAGTCAACACATAGAGAGCCAAACCAAAGCAGACCACTCAGCATCCCAGTTTTTGTGAAGTTCTAATATATAAGAAATAAATACTTCCTCCTATGCTCTACTCGTGCTGGTTAGAAATTACAATATATGCCATGGCTTTGAAGACGATCAGGGTTACAGAGGTGTAAAGATTTTCCAAATAAATATGGATCTAAGAAGATGTTGTGGTGACACTCCAGGAAGTGGGATTGTTTTAGGACAAACATACAAACGTTGCAAACTTTTATCATACAAGCAACAACCCCGGGGCCGTAATCTGAAGTGACCGAGTCGGGAGCAGTTCGAGTCTGTCAGGCCTGTCAGCGTCTTAGTGCAGTACCACAGGACGGGTACTGGGGGTCTCTCCTGCAGGGTGCTGCGTCCTTTATGGCCCCTTTGTTGACACAGATCGCGCTCTCCTCCTCTTCTTGTCATTCTCTCTGCGCCGGCCTAACCTCACCTTTTTTTTCCTCTTGGTGGCAACTTTTAGTGGCTGGTCCTTATAAGCCAGAGCCTTGTTGGTCTCCTGGGGGAGGTTAGTGCCCTCCCTATCCAGCCTGAACCTGTCTGGGAGGTCCTTGGTGGCCCCTGGGGGCTTCTGGTGTAGAGCATTTCCACTGAAGGTCTGGCTCGGCGTTCTGCTCTGCACAGGTGGCGCGCGTTCGTCGGCCGTGTGCACCTCCTCCAGCAGCTCCTGTAGCCACATACGACGCTTGAACTCCTGCAGGGAGCGACCTTTATCGTGCATCAGCTGGGCGTGGCTCACTGACCTCCTCCTGACAGCAGAAAAAGTGACACAGAGTCAGATTAACATGTACTACAAACAGAAAATAAAGCAAAAAAAAAAACATTTTGAGATTAGATATTAGCATCTTAAAGCCAAAACCTGTATGAAGGCAGCACATATTTCTTATTTCTAGATTTTCAAAACCTGTTATAATGTCTGTTGCCAGCCAATTCTCATAATTCTCTTTTTTGTTGTTGTTGTTGTTTTAACCCATGTTGGAATTTTATGTGACACCACAGTGGTGAGTTTA